TAGCTTCTTGTGGCTGTATGGACATCCTTTCCCTAGATTGCATTTTCCCTTGGCAAAGAACTTGCACGTGATCTTCTTCTTGTTTACATTGGGATTTCTTCCTCTGTCCTTCCCGTCACCCTTTCCTTTCCCTTTCTTATTTTCAAGATGTCTCTCTGCATTGGGTGAAGGCTTGACAGGAGTTACTTCTTCAATTTCCCCCATTGCTGCCGATGGTTTAGGTTTTGATTTCTTCGGATCATTGGGCGCGGGTGTGGCCTTTGCTTTGGGCGCCGGACCACTGGGTTTGAGGCTCTGAAATATGTTGGCCACATTCTCGACAGCTTTTTCCTTCTCGAGGAGCATCTTGTTTTCGGTCTGTCTTTCAATGGTATCTAATATGATTTCTTGGGATCTCCTTCGTTGAGATTGTTGTACAGTTGTAGGTCATAGGATATCACATTAAAATTCTTCATTTTCCTATACAATAGATCACGAAGTGTAACATCATTCGGGATGTCGGCTAGCTTCATTCCGGCTAAAACTTCATCCCACGTGGGTATAAAGAAGAAAAAGATTCCTGTCTCCTTGATATTCAATTTAATACAGGTGCATAGACGTGTACAATACCTCAATGTTGGATGTTGTCTTGAAGTTGAGGAATATCAATACCAAAACCTCTCTTCCTTTGATAAGGGTAGAGGTCCTCCCTTTTGTATTGATGCGCGTTCTCAATTTCATGGCAATATGATTTCCTTCTTCTTTGGAGTCTGCGACAACCTTGATCAATACCAGTTCCAATTTCGTATCGATAGAGTGGAATCTTGAATCACCGGAATCGATCAATTTATCAGGGTCAGGGTCATCAATAGCTTCTTTGACCCAGTCAATCCACGACTATTGATCTGAGTCATTTATTGCAATAATCTTCCTTTCTAAATACCTTAGTCGCAAAGGTTGGGGATGATGATGACGTTGATGCGGTCTCCGACAACTTGATCTTGAATTCTGCATTCTCATCTTTAACCTCATATATCTCCTTGAGCCCTTCCTCATAACAATGAAAGGCTTCTAGGTACCAATCATATGCTTCGTCACATGTATTCCTTAGTCTTTCTGCTTTATTTTCTTCATATTTGAGATTTCCTTTTACATGTAATTGGCTTTCCTCATTAATCCGAGTAGTTGCTAACCCCCGTCCTTCTCGATTTTTATCCTTGATAAAACCATGGCGCATCTCGTTTCATTCTCATATTCTCAAATTTCCCTTCGAGAAATTTCCTTTCGGCAAATTCTTAGTTCTCCTCTATTTCTTGGAATTTTTCTTCGAGAATTATCCTCTTTCTATCATCAGTTGCAGCTGACTTCAAAAGGCTCTCTTTCTTCAATATTTTGTTGGCTTCGGTGAAGGCGAAGTTGGCTTCCTTTATTTGTCGTTATTCCTCCTTCGATTGCTTCTATATTTTGTTTATAGTGTCTTCCATTGTCTTCGTCGCCTCAGCCATCATTCTTATTTCGTGCTAATATTGTTGTGTTCGCATCTCTTTTTCGCTAATCTCCAGCTTATATCCCTATATCGCTGTTTTCTGTTCTAGGTCCTGCTAACCTATTTCTGCGATCATATTCATTTCCGATCCTTTGATGATTGCCAGCTGACCACGAAGATGATCAACCATCCTTTTCTCTTGGTTCTAATAATCAGTGGCTTCAGCAACTTCGTCGCCCAATTGCATTTGGTGTATTTCACTACTCCATTTCTTCTCCCTCTCTCTCTAAGATACCTCCAACATGCTGCTATTCTCATCCTGTAACAGTAGCATCCTCGCTTGGAGCTCGCTGGCAACATCGTAGATCGCTTGGTTTTCCTCAGTGAGATGTTATGCCCATCTGTTGTAGGAATCAGAAGTCTGGTTCTGCTCTTGGTTTATATCTTCCATCTTGAATCTTAGTTCGTCAAATTGGGAATATTCCTCGTGATTCTCACGGGGAACCTCCTCGTATTTCGTATAGATGTGATCTGCCAATGATTCAGCATGTCTGAACTTTCTCTCGAATTCCTCCATTCATATGGTTATTCCTTCATCCTCTTGCATCATTTCTTGGAGGTAAGTGCCCATAGCCACGTTACACTTTGTCAATTGCGAAAATTCCTCTTGCGAAAATTTCTTTGCATATGTCCTTTATGTAAACAATTGTATTCATCGTTCAAATAATAATAATAATATAATGTTTTAGCAGCGCGAAACTCCTCCAATAATCGGATTTCTTTCTTTTCGAATTCCTTATCCCTCTTTGGTAATCTTCTCGATATTATCCTTGACGATATAAATTTCATAAATTTCTTCATTTGTTTTTTGTATTATCCATATAAATATCAAATCTTATCGCAATTCTTCCTTCCCCTAATATTTCTAATATGGAAGGCATAATCATTATTATAATAGCATCAAAACCTAACACCAATTCTCGAACCAAATATAAATATAAAATATTTCCTCCTAAAACGACAAAAAAAATTATTCATTATGGTTTCCTCCAAAATTCGATAATATAAATTAAATCTTAATTGCAATATTAATCTTTCAAAATTCGTATCCTCAAAATAATTACGACTAATAATCTATATATAAATATTATTCTATTCAACACCAAATATAAATAAATATATTCTTCCTCGTAAATATCAATAATACGTTCTTATATTCCGTTTCCTCTACGAAAATCTTAAATTAAATATATACGTAATATGCTAATATATATTATATATATATAATAAGTTATCATTCCATTATTATTAATAAAATATATATTGTAAATTAAAATTCCAATAAATAAATTCCAATTTACCATAAAATATAAAAATATTGCTTTTAATAAATATATTTAAAAATAATCATTGCCAGTATAATATATTACGAAAAAAAAATCCGACATTAATTAAGAAATCGTTTCAAAATAATACCAAAAAATCCTTCAATAATAGGGAAATTTTTATATATTAAATCAATTTATTAAAATAAATTTAATAGGTGGAATACATAGAAGGATGTTATTTCTATTTCCGGCATACCTATATGTGCATATAATCTAATACCAATTCATGAATAGATATGATTAATATATCCGTCATTAGACCTTTAAGAACCTCAATCTCATTGTGATCATAGCATACAAACTTGAAAAAGCATATAGGGTCCCACAAACTCCTGTTTATGGTCAGGCTTGCTAATCTTTATCATTAACCTTCACAAGCCAGTGATCAATATGAGAATTTCAATATCATCCCAAAGGAGTTCATGACAACCACAATGGGGACGATCATGCAGGTCCAGATCTTGGCCTCAGGCAATGAGCTGGACTAGGCATTGGTGACGAACTACCTCATTGCTGACATGTCCATTACGGTCAGCTGGGATGTTCCTTTCAAACCGCACGCGCAGCTCCACTTCAAATTGGCCCGTGCTATGGAACCAGTGGTTGTGCAATAGATCCAGCGCTACAACCCCCAAGCTTGAGAGCATTGCCCATAAATGGGCCCAGATTGAGAACATTGCCCTCCCTATTCAATGGTTAGACCAAGACTCCAATGGCGTGTCCCAGACGGTTAGGTGCCTTTACCACAAGATAGAGCGCTATGCCAGCAGTTGGACAAGCCGGTCTATGGCAGGGGCACCCAGTTGCAATACATTCGCAAGCCCCTGACCCAAGCAAACCATGGATCTCGAAAAGGGGGCTGCAGCAATATCTTCATCGCAACAACAGGGAATTGCAGAAGCTGGGTTGGCATTTGGCAACTCACTGGCATAGTGACGCACCTCTCACACTAGAAGATTTCCAGATGCTTTGGACAACCCACGACGAAGAGCACATCCAGGTTTTGCTGCAGTATGCCAAGCAACAGCGAGACCTGCATCAGGAACCAAGGCCACCTTGCTTTCCAAGAATGCAGACATCGACAGGCCCATTGCTCCCTCGTGGCTTCCTTGTACAGGCTTTGGTGTCGTCTTAAAGCCCCGTACACCCGGCAATGGCAAGTTGCAATTCAGCGTGAACATCTTCGGGAGCGTGCAGTACCTGGGACTGAACGCCTGCAAGTTGCCCTCAAGAGAGCTTTCATGACAGAGCACCACCAAGCCATGAAGAAAACTGTAATCTCGATTCTGCTAGACATGTCGAGAGTGGTCACTGAGGAACCGATTGGCTGATGCCAAGAAAGCAGCCACTGAGGTTGCGCTCTCGAAGCAGCCCAAGGAGGAGGAGGAGGAGGAGGAGGAGGAGCTGCAGGAGAAGGACCACAAGTACCAGAGAGAGACTCAGGCACTTGCTGGAGGACACCAAGCACTTCATGCATGAAGCCAGAGAGAAAGGAAAGGAGAGGCGCAACCAGGCTAGAGACTAGAGCGTGAGCTCTACAACAACTTGACCAAGCCTATCAGGCCTGATGGTCATGCTTGGCTCCCTAAGGGCCGCAGCCTGCAATGTCAGCATTGCAAGAAGCGCTTGACAATTCAATGTACAGCAAGACTCCGGGAACTACGAGCAGGGCATCAAGAGGTCTGCAAAGGGGTGGGAGGACTTGCGCTGGTTGGAGGTGCTTCCAAGGCGGCTGAGAGCAAGCAGGAAATCTTGAAGCAGTTGGTCGAGGTTTCCCACCCTGACATGGGGGCCCACAATTTCGAGCTGCAGACCTACTACATTGTTTGCTTGCTGTGCAATCAGAGGGTGCTTAGACACTCAGCCAAAGAGAAGATCCTTGAGCTAGGCCTCTACGTGTTGGGATGAGGCATGGACTGGGCCGTCAACCTGGACTGGGAGTCCTTCCCACAGCCTTTGGAGGAAAGGGGGTCGGGTCTACTGCCAAGTGTGCAAGGCCCATGCGCTCTCAAAAGGCGCCAGCTTTGCACCAAGCAAGGCTTTGCAGAGACCATGCGGTCCAGCAGATGGAGGGCAGCAAAAGCTGCCGCAATGCTTTCGACCCAAGGTGCTTGAAGGATGAGAGCAACAACAGCTGAAAAGAAGCGAAGAAACAAATAAGTGTTTGCATTCTATATTGAAAAAATAGTTATAGTAGTAAAAGATTTCTAATTATGTATTTGGCTTTTGGCTCGATAACGCAAATCGAAATCTATTTTGAATAGTTTCGTTGTTTGCTGTCAGCATCAACGTTTGCTGCATCCCTTCAGTTTATAAGACTCCAAATCAGATGCGCATGGCTCCACTGTGGCCGTTCCAACCTTGGTAAAACGAAATTTCAGGCAAGCAAGCAATCAAGCAAGCAAGCTCCAGAGCTTCCAAGGTCACAACAAAGCCAGAGTCACACTTTGCACTCACCTCGCAGCTTTTGAGTTTCATCACATGTGTGTGCCTCTAAATTTTGCAAATCGGGGTTCGAACTGCAAATTCGTGCGCCAGCAGATCGGTTTCTGTGATGAGGTAGCCTGCCACAATTCTTCGGGTCTGAGAATATTAATGTCGATTAATTTAGATTGATAGGAAATGACTGGAAGGTGCCACAATGCCTGTGACATCATCAGGGGCTAAGCATCGCTTCCTTGGACCACAGCCCTGGAGGCCTTTGGCGAGGAGTCGCAACAAACCAATATAGAGTGCAGCCAACCTACCAGCAAAAGCCTCCACCCTAGTAGCGATGGCCTCCAAACTAAGAAGCAACTAGACTAAGTGTCTTGTTTGTCCTCTCTTTCTGTTTTGAAGCCATTGTACAATAGTAGAGTACACATGGCACTGATGGTGTGAACTTACCCACAAGCTGTCTTGGCGCCATACTGTACTCTTCTTTTGCGCCCCCACATACAACAGCTTGGGGCGTGGAATAGGCGGCAAAGCCATCTGCACAAGACACCTTTGGCAACGCACACATACAGCGGTGACTATATCTGTATCCGATCCGCAAGCGCTGGTGTGAGTACAGCAAAACACGCAGGTATCAAATCATGTGAAACACACCGAATTCCGAAATGGGAAGACCTCATGAGACCTCCATAGTATTGTCTCTTTTTCTAAGTTGCTTGATCTCCTTCTTGAGGAGGTGTTGCCAAACAACTGTTTCTCTGTATCTCATTGCAAAGGGAAGGGAAAAAGGCTGCACATCCCAACTGAGGAGGAACAGCCAAGGATCTATTCTGTATGCTGCAGCGTGTTCTGCCTAAAGCACTGAGCTTGACTAGGAAAACAACATGTGGAATGTCAAATATACAATGAGAAAGTTAAAACTACCAGGTATCTTAATTTCAACTCTTCACTTCTGCCTGACTGTTCACGATAACTCTTTCTTGAGTGCTGAGGAACTGAAAATGCTAGTGCTGGTGATGCCAGCAGGGTCGTTTGACACCATAGGCATCACCACTGTGCATGAACTTGGTCCTTTCACTTGACACGAAAGTTGTAGTGTTGGGATTGTCAACTGTCCACACTCAACTGAGACTCGCATTGGTGACAAACAACCCCCGCTTTCAGATCTAATTCGATTCAGGTGTTATATTGGAGCCCATGTGATTGAGGAACACGCTTACGAGTCGAACGGCGGCCCAGAGTTGAAACACGCAAAATGCTAAGTAAGGTTTTATGTCCATCATCGACTGGCATGCCACAGCGACAAAAATTGTGCAGCTTGATATGAGTTCCACTTTCCACGCCATTTGTCTTTGGAGGCAAATAAGAGCTTCTTGCAACTGAGAAACTTCAACTTGAAACTGATCTTGCACAACCGAAACTTCTTTGATCAGGTAGCCATCCGAGTCAGCCTGAATGACATGGACTGTTTGACTGTGGCCACATGTTTCGGCCACATGCTTGGCAGTCCCTTCATGGGCAGAGAGTCATGAACACAAATGGCAACCAAAATCAGGAGCGTCTGAGACCTTTCTGCCAAGGAGCAGGTGCCAGACACACGCGTGTGCAGCCACTCAAGCTAAACGTATCCTCAATATTATACTGGGATTCACACATTCCGAGTATCATGGCTTCAGCACTGTCAAGTGAGAACAGTGTGCAGCCAAGAAGCCAGGTGCTTGGTGCAAGCTGACACAACAGCTGTCCCTGCGAAGCCTTTGCTGCACCTGTTGTGACACCACATGACATTTTAGTTTCCCTGAGAATCGAGAAACAGTTTCGTACAGGTCCGAGGTAGTAGCTGCTTCCTTGCTACTAGTAGCTTGCTTTATTGAAGGTACCAGCTACCTACTGACTTCCTATCCGCCAGAACAAAAGAATACAAGCACGAGAAAACATGTAGCGACACCTGGCGGTGACAGAGAACTCGTCCATAAAGAGATTGTGCTCAGAGACTAGATAACCTTGGGCTGCACAGGCTGCGCTTTTGCCCCAAAAGCCAGAAAAAGTAGAGGACAACGTCGTTTTGCCAAATTATGCTATATATAGAAATACATACAAACGCCTGCCCAAGATACCTTTTGTCGCAGCAGGAGCTATGCACACTCCCTGTTTGCCAATCATTTCTGCGAAACCAGTAATGCCACTGCTGAACTCAAAGCAAAAAGCACAAGGCCACTAATTGTGCAGAAAATAAACACCGAGAAATTCTGCCTTGGGAGTCGTAGTGGAGGTCGATGTTGTTGAAGTAGCTGTGCTCGTAGACGTGGTCGTTGTAGATGTGACAGTAGATGTAGTCGTGGTGCTTGTGCTAGTCGAAGTGGTGGTTGTACTGGTGATTGTAGAGGTAGTTGTGGTCGTGGTGCTTGTCGCTGTTGATGTGGAGGTTCTTGTTGTTGTTGCAGTCGTTGTGGTTGTTGTGACCGTGCTTGTGGAAGTGGTTGTTGTGCTGGTTGCTGTAGATGTTGATGTAGTCGTTGTGCTCGTGATCGTTGAAGTTGATGTAGTTGTAGTGCTGGTTACTGTGGAAGTTGATGTGGTGGTAGTGCTGGTCGAAGTGGTTGTTGTGCTTGTGCTCGTGGAAGTAGACGTTGAAGTTGTTGTTGCGGTTGATGTGATGGTTGCTGTGCTCGTTACGGTGGAAGTCGTAGTAGTTGTTGAGGTGGATGTGCTGCTAGTGGTAGAAGTTGAAGTTGATGTGGTTGTTTCCGTTGTGGTTGAGGTGGAGGTCGTAGTAGTTGATGTGCTTGTTTCGGTCTGGGTGACAGTTGATGTCAAAGTGATCGTTGAAGTGCTGGTGGATGTAGAAGTAGTGGTTTCAGTGATTGTTGTTGTTGTGGTTTCAGTCGCTGTCGTTGTGGTTGTTGAGGTAATTGTGCTAGTTTTGGTGGCAGTAGTGGTCACGGTGGTGGTAGTTGTCACTGTTGAAGTGGTTGTGACAGTCGAGGTGCTTGTTGTAGTGGATGTAGTCGTCTCTGTTGAGGTTGTTGTTTGCGTGCTAGTTTCGGTGGTTGTACTGGTGGTGGTCGTAGTTTCCGTTTCTGTCGTTGTTGTGGTTGTTGTACTTTCACAGCCTTCTAACACATAGGAATCTTCTTTGTATCCTCCATTGCATTTTGCAACCTTTGCTACTCCTACGTATCCTTCTGAGCACGCCACCTTCACTTGGAAGTCCTTCAAGGTCAGATCTGTTTCGGTCACAATATAGCCAGTGGTATCATCTGGTGAGCGGCATCGATCCAATTCACAGCCAGACAGTCCGTACCTTGGTAGACAACTCGCCTTCCCAAATCCTTTCGCCTTCCGTCCAGCTCATCAACTTGCTCGCTAAGGCACTCCTCATCATGTTCAGCACATTTTTCAACCGCAGCACTGCCGTGGAAGAAAGGGGCACACTGAGCTTGGATATTGAAGTCAAGCTGTTTCACACTGACTTCTGTCCTTGTTGAAGGCAAAAGAGTGCCACAGCAAAAGTCGAGATCAAGAATGATTATACAATTGAAATCAAATCAACTTAAATGCAAGCAAAGCTGCAAAACATATCCTGAGGTATCAGAAGGTGTTTGGCAAACAACTGCTTTGCATCCACTGAGCTTGAAAGGCTTGTCCGGCGCATCGCAGGCCTGTAGCGTAATGAAAAGTGTGCGTCTCGTGTCCGTCGACGTGTCCAGTGCCTCCACTTTCGCATCACCTTGATATCCTTCACGACATGAAGCCGTAGCTTGGAATGCTCGGACCTGAAGAAGACACATAGCTCAACTCACAGCGAGCTATTTTGCAGCTCACATTCCGCGCCTCCAAGCTGTTTACAGTAACTTGATAGGCTTTGTCAACGACTTCCATGCATGAGAGGATTGTTGTGCTGGTGGTGGTTGAAGTTGTCGTCTCGGTAGTCGTAGTGGTGGATGTAGTTGTCTCAGTTGTTGTCGACGTACTGGTTGTGCTGGTGACAGTTGATGTCGATGTGGTGGTGGTGGTGTAAGTTGATGTAGTTGTGGTGGTCTCTGTGGTTGTGGTCGTGGTGGTGAGGGTTGATGTTGTTGTATCGCAACCAAATAATTCGTACGGCTCCCCATCCCTTCCACATACAAATGCTTCTGCACTGCCGCTGTAGCCGTCTTTACCTGAATTCTCCAGGTGGGAAGGTTCACAAATAATCACACGCTTGGTCTGACGATGTTCATCTGCCCTCAGACAAACCTCCCCTCCCAAGCTGCAAACAATGTCAGGCCGTTTGGCTCGATCACAAATACTTGGTGAAGGGACAAGAGAACAAAAATATACATAATGCATGCATCGGCTTCAACAAATACTTCAAACTATCTCAGCCTATGGTACAAGGTTGCCTGTCCTAATTCAGGTGAGCCATTCCAGCAAAGCTTTGCCCAGCTACAGGTCGCTTCCACCACAAAAGCACCCCTTGCCAGGCTTGTCTCAGTCCTTTGTTCATGCAAACGGTACTGCACACAAACAAACGAGAGATGTTCTTCTCTCGGCTCGACAACCAAGACCCCAGCACTTCATAAGCTGCCAGATCCGCTGGAGGAACGCATAACTCACTGGCACAACCCAGAAGCCTGAAGCTCATGAGAGCCACAGTGGCTCAATGAATGGACAATCAACCACAAAGCTTTGCGGCAAACTAGTTAGTGGTATGCCTGCAAGACGATATACCATGATATGATATGGTGGCCGATCAACATTTTGTGTGATGGAATGGCCGTTCATCGTGAAAAATTGTACAGTATCTTTTGAGCCTCAGCGAAACATAGTCCTAAAATGTCCTAAAAACCTTGCCTTTTGGTCATGAAATGTACCAATTACTAGCCAGCCCATGCTTAAGGTCAGAATCATGCTTTAATGCAGGTTGCCCAATGATGCCCAAGCTCTGATGATTCTCGAATCGACAAACATTTTGTTGATCTTGCAAGCGCACATTTGGTCCAACAGCCGGCATTGGATGATTTCTGGTTGTCATCCGTCTTAGTTTGTGATGCTGCATCTGTGGTGAACAGTTCGCTGCCTCTTCATAAAGAGTGGGATTTACGTCATGTCAACAGGATCCTGTGATCCTGACTGTCTCTTCATGTCTATGTCCAAGTATTGCCACGCAAAAGCGAAGCAGCTCCAACGAGGACACTCAACTTCGGGTCGACGCCCATAAATAGATTAGCACCAGGAATCAAAGGCCATGCAATAACGCAGTCAAGAAGCTTGTAAGGAGTTAGATCCTCCTCACATTCAAGAACCACGGGGCTGCCCTTAAAAGCCTTAGACACAACCGTTCGCCCATGACAAGGACAATATCGCAGTCAACTGTTCGTCCATCTGCCCATGAGGTTAGCTTCTTGTTACTAGTAGTAATGCCAGGAGCTACTAGTAGCTTCCGGCTCCTAGTAGTAATGCCTTTGCGCCACGCCAGGAGCTGCTAGTAGTTTCTTGCTCCTAGTAGTAATGCCCTTGCTACTCGTAGCGATGTCAGGCGCTACTAGTAGCTTCTTGCTCCTGGTAGTAATGCCCTTGCTGCTAGTAGCGATGCCAAAGCCTACTAGTAGCTTCTTGCTCGTAGTAGAAATGCCCTTGCTTCTAGTAGCGATGCCAGGAGCTATTAGTCAGCTTCTTGCTCCTAGTAGTACTCCAAGTAGTAAAGCCCTTGCTACTAATAGCGATGCCAGGAGCTACTATATAGTAGCTTCTTGCTCTCAGTGGTAATGCCCTTGCTACTAGTAGCGGTGCCAGGAGCTACTAGTAGCTTCTTGCTCCTAGTAGAAATGCCCTTGCTACTAGTAGCGACGCCAGGAGCTACTAGTAGCTTCTTGCTCCTAGTAGTAGTGCCCTTGCTACTAGTAGCGATGCCAGGAGCTACTAATAGCTTCTTGCTATTAGTAGTTCCGCCCTTGCTACTAGTAGCGATGCCAGGAACTACTAGTTGCTTCTTGCTCCTAGTAGCAATGCCCTTGCTACTCGTAGCAATGCCCGAGCTACTAGTAGCTTCCTGCATGGTCCTAGTAGCAATGCCCTGAATACTAGTAGCGGTGCCAGGAGCTACTAGCTTCTTGCTCCGAGTGGTAATGCCCTTGCTACTAGCAGCGATGCCAGGAGCTACTAGTAGCGTCTTGCTCCTATAATTCCCTTGCTACTAGTAGCGATGCCAGGAGCTACTAGCTTCTTGCTCCTAGTGGTAATGTCCTTGCTACTAGCAGCGATGCCAGGAGCTACTAATAGCTTCTTGTTTCTAGTAGTAATGCCCTTGCTACTGGTAGCTTCTTGCTCCTAGTAGTACTGCCCCTGCTACTAGTAGCGACGCCAGGAGCTACTGATAGCTTCTACTAGTAGCGTTGCCAGGAGCTACTAGTAGCTACTTGCTTTAGTATTGCCCTTGCTACTAGTAGCAATTCCAGGAGCTACTAGTAGCTTATTGCTCTTAGTGGTAATGCCCTTGCTACTAGTAGCGGCCAGAAGCTACGAGTAGCTCCTTGCTCCTAGTAACAATGCCTTTAGCTTTGCGCGATGCCAGGAGCTACTAGCAGCTTCTTGTTTCTAGTAGTAGTGCCCTTGCCACTAGTAGCGTTGCCAGGAGCTACTAGCTTCTTGCTCGTAGTAGTAATGCCCTTGCTACTAGTAGTCATGCCAGGAGCTAGTAGTAGCTTTTTGCTCCTATTAGTCATGCCCTTGCTTCTAGTAGCAATGCCAGGAGCTACTAGTAGCTTCTTGTTCCTAGTAGTAAAGCCCTCGCTACTAGTAGCGATGCCAGGAGCTACCAATAGCTTCTTCCTCCTAGTAGTAATGCCCTTGCTACTAGTAGCGATGCCAGGAGCTACTAGTAGCTTCTTGCTCCTACAAGTTGTAGTAATGCCCTTGTCACTAGTAGCGATGCCAGGAACTACTAGTAGCTTCTTGCTCCTAGTAGCAATGCCCTTGCTACTAGTAGCGATGCCGGGAGCTACTAGCAGCTTCTTGCAGTAGTAATGCCCTTGCTACTAGTAGCGTTGCCAGGACTCGAAACAAAGGTAGGATCCTAGAGTGCATGTAAAGGTGACATGTGTGTGAACATGGTCTAGTGTGATACCAGGCTCTATGCGCACCTTTTTGGGCTGCTGTGTTGTGTCATGACAAGTACCTGGGTCAACCGGACTTGAGCCAGACACCGGTAGGTCAGGTGCATACCGAGTCGGCTGGGTTCTTTGTTGGAAATCAGCTGCGGCTCTTCTGTCTTCAGCGACTGCGCACTTAAGGTTCTCGTTGCTTAGATTCGCTTAAAGCTAGTTATCGACCTTGAGCTGCAATTGATCTCCAAGGAGCCGGGTGAGAAGGTCCTACGAACTGCGCGAAGGCGACGGATGTCGCACTGCGTGTGCACAAGCTGCCAGACTGGGGCTGGCGCTTCAAGACCTTTCTTTCTACACTTTGGAGATTTGGTTTCACTCCTGAGTGCTTCTGTTCAACTCGGGTCAGCTGCTGCAACTCATGGAGAGTCGCTTCAACTCACGCGAGTTGTTGTGCCTTGAACTGCCGAAGGCAAACGATGATTCCTTCCATCGCTTTCTCAAGAGCTTTCTCAACACTGAGCCCTTGGTCACGCCATCGGCGATCCTATCTCTTGTATCTGCCCAAGTTAGCCTCACAATGCCTTTCTGAAGCTGTTGGGGATACCATCTGAGATGTATCACAAGGCTGTTATTGGCCGGCACCTTCACGGTTGGCGCCACGATGGCCAAGTGACACTCATCGCCAGTACGATGCGTAGGTCTATTGGACCATGTGTCACCTGTCAAAATATTGCGAGCTTCACTCTCGCTCAAGCTGTTCTGATGCAGTTCATGCAGAGTGCCAGCCTGGTGAGGGTGGTGGCATCCACTGCATCTGTTGAAGCGAACAGTTCTGATGCGAATGTGGATCTTGTGACACGGCGCTGTGATTTAGAAGCGCGCTCAATCACATGGCATGCGAGATCCACTGAAGTACTCGCTCCTCTATAGAGTTGGCTGACATCTGACGCGATCATTTTTGCGCCGATCATACCGCGAACACTAAGGCCTGAATCTGACTTTACTTGGAAGCCCGAGTCGCTATAAGCTGGTTGGATATTCTATTTTACGGTAGACCAGCTTGCGAGGATTCTGTTTCATCCATCGCACAAGATGATTCGATCTCTTCACATGGGTGGGTTGTGCAATATGGCTGATTTGGAGTGCTGTCACATAGGCTGCAAAGTTAAGGCGGGTCGACAAGGCATATGCCACTGTCATGAGTAGACTTAGGAACTGCCTACGAACATCTTCTACTAAGTCCTCCTCCTTCGTGGGCACTGGTGTCACGGTCATCTCTTTGATGTCTGCGGTGAAGGAGGTTTGGTCCAACGCGATGGCTTCTGCAGTCAGCTGGTGGCGGATGCCACAGAATGTGAAATTCACAAACTCTAGGCCGAGTTTTCCAAAGGCCTTGGCGAGATACTCCACTAGTTCTAGCGCGAGCTTCTTTGGGCCTGCGATCTTAAAGATCGTATACGTGCTTCGGCAGCAGAAGGCATATCTCGCCATTGGAATCAAACAGGTGCTCGAGTTCACTATCCATCAGCGTGGATATACTGTGCGGTGGCCTTTCCCAACTTCATGCCCTAGGCACGTGAGGCATCCCTGCATCCTGCGCCTGGCTTTGTGCTCCTAAGCGCTTCCTTCGCGGGATTGAAGTTCTCGAAGCCTGGCAGTTGTCTTAGACAAAACACTGGCTGGCCACATAGTTCAGAGCTGACTTGACGTTCTGGACGTCCTGTCTCTTGCGCCAGCTTGGCACAAGTGACTTCCTGCAAGAAGGCCTTTGGAATATCAGTTGATCGTAAGGTCCAACCGACACGAGGAGCTCAGCCTGGTGGCTGTTGGTGACGTGTTCACGTCGTCGTCTGCTCCTGTGTCTTTAAAGCCTCGAATGCATAGCCTAGCTCTGATGAACCTCTTACCGCCTGTAACCTTCCATTTACATACCCACTTAACATCCATCAACTCATCTATCACATTATGAGCTTAATGCCTTGGCTGGCGCTCAGAGCATTAATGGTAACCTTGTCATACCTTTAGCTCATCAAGGATAGCTTGGACAAGTTCTGGTGCATGGGTGATTTCTTCCTCTTTGGTGAGGAGATCATTGCTACGATCAATCGCAGCTTTGTGGGCGTTGGTAGATACGCCTGGCATCCTTGGCAAACCTTCGATGGCCTTGCACATGTTGCCATAGGCTTCAAGGGCAACATACGAACCTCGCTCATCTTCGTCGACGCTGGGGCTTGAGTGCGAAGGCTTCCTCAGCTAGGAAACTCTTCTGTGTTTCAGCTGCTACTTCATAAAATTTCTGGAACGTAACTGCTTGAAGGCTGGCGAGATTGGTCTTGGGTGTCTCCAAGTCATGTAGCTCTTGGGCACTACGCTCATAATGCTAGTTCTTGAATGTTCGGATGGCAATGGTCGGATGGCTTTGTTCTTGGACACCGAAGACTTGGCTCAACTCCTGCAAGCTCACCAGCGCTTCTTCTGAGCCTCCTTCGTTGCTGCCTCCAGGGATGGTGCTCAGAGGACCTCCAACACTCAGGCTTCTTGCGGTGCGGTGTTGGATGTGAATTCGTTGGTGTCAGCATCCATGGCAACAACATCGGCGTGACCTCTGTGGCTTCCAATGAGCCACTCTTCTGTCCGGCACCTGCAGGAGCTGGATGAACCGGATGTTCACCCTCTCACTTTCTGCAAGACCTGAGAACGAAACATTGAAAAACTGCAACGCGCAACGCTCTGGTCTTCGAACACTGCAGGCTTGAGCCGGTTGTGACACCCTTGCAGACTGCAAGCCCTGCCAGAATGTCACAACTGCATTGGCTCCTGAATGATGCGAACATAGTGCAACTGGCAAATGCGTTGGAAATGGATGGCGTGTTCATGGTGGGCCTTGGCGAATGAGTGGAACTTGTGAGCTGTGACAGGTTTACCCCCTGTACGCAAGTGAGCGCAGCACAGCATTGAGTTGCAGTGGAAGTGGTATCGCGCGCGGTCCAATGGATTGTCAGCGATCCGGAGTATTCGGCTGGAATCTGTTTGACCCCGAGACCACACCTTGCTGCCACTATGGCGGCGATGTTGAAAACATTCTTTGTTACATGCACGTTGGCAGCAAAGTGACCTTGGTGTTGTTTGGTGGCGTTGGACACGCACCGTTCACCCTTCTGATTGTGGACTTGGCCTACGGTGATGACAGCGCCTTTCTTGAACTGGTCTATGGCTTCTTG